AAAATCCCACCGAGATTTCCCGCTCATTATGCCAATCCCTGAAACAACTACCAACAGTTAGAAAAGGAGACAACTTTTGCCGGGACTTATCTTCCCTAGTTAACGAATTTGAGAGCTTAATTTGCCGATTTACTCAACAAGGAGAAAATACCGACAACATACATATTCAATTAGAAATAGAATCAAAACTACCTACTTTTGTATTAGAAGAAATCTACAGAGCTAAAGAAGAAAATCCTGCCTGGACAACAGAACTACTAAAGCAAAAATTGAAGGCCATACTAAAAAGAAAAGAAGATATCTCAGCCATGAACAACAGCCCTCCAAAACCGCAAGTTCAAATTTCTCCCCAAAATTTATCCCCACCTAGAAATGACTCGCCTCCCTTACCTCAATCCTCATTAACCTTCCATACTCACACAATGAGAAAATTTCCTACCAGAGAACCCAAGCTTCCCTGCTTATTTTGTAATGTATTTGGGCATTTTTCCCCTTCCTGCAACCAATATCCTGACCTATATTCCCGCCGAAATAAACTCAGAGAATTACGGCGGTGTTTTAGCTGTATGAAAGAAGGGCATAAATCTCCCCTATGCCGAATGCCTATGAAATGCTCTTCCTGTGGTGGCCCTCACCCACGGGCCCTTTGCTCTCACCTATTACCCTCAAAACCTCCCTTTACACCGAGGCCTCCCCAACGGCCTCCTATACCTTACCTCAATAATAATGCTTATTTTGCCCAATCCAGACCTGATACTAGACTTACCGAACCGCCTCAGCCTCCTTCCTCTCCGAACAATTCAAATGCCAACCAACAGACCTTTTGTTCCCAACTGATAGCAACCCCAGTTAAAACCCTGCCCAGAAAGCCTACCCTGAATAAACGGTACAACAAAGTCAAATCATGTCAACAGCCTATTTGTAACAACCGTAATGTAAAATGGAAACAACGCCCAACTACAACTACACCAAAAGCCTTGCGGGAGGGTCTTACGAAGATGCCAGCAGCAAGAATGGAATTAAATCCTCAGACAATGAAGGTAAAAATAAAACCTATAATGACTAATCCTCCCTCTCTATTTACACGCACAACTTTTCCTAATTGGCATGGTGGTTCGTGTTTGGCTTATACCCTGGCCTATGTTCCCATACAACGACAACCCATTCCGTTATCCCAGATAAACTTCATGGTGCGCCACCCACCAACACCTTTGAATATGCTCAACTTCAACCAACAACGATGCCCCTTGCTGCTGCCCCCACAACTACTCCCACTAAAAGCCTTGGCCGGAATGTCGCAAAATGCGAAATTTCTTTAATTAAAATTTTATTTTTAATTCAATTTTATTTTTTGTACTCCTTATCTTTTAAATATATCTAAAGAATTTTTCCCAGCCTTATTTTTATTTTATTTATATAAAACTTTGGCCTGTATATATATGCTTATTCTTCTTCCTAGATTGATCAGTTTGTAAATCTTCTTAGCCTTCCTTATTATTTTGCTTCACATTAGCAATTTTTCCTATCCTTACTTTAATATATTTTTTTGTGAAAGAAATAAACTTTGTCTGGAAAAGAATTTATTTTGTTTTAACCTGAGAGAAATTATCCCAATCTCTCTGTCGCTGGATTCAGAATTACCCTCATTAGAGAAAGAATAACCCCACATTTTTCTTTCTCTACAACTCATCACTAAACTTGTACTAGATTTAAAAACATAATTTTTGCAGTAATAAAAAGTAGAGACCGGCACGGGACGGGACCCCGTACGGGATTTTACGGGATCCCGTCCCGGAATCCCGGGTTTTTCGCGGAAAACGGGATTACCGGGATTCCGGGATTTACGGGATTAATCCCGCGGGATCCCGTCCCGGTCGAATTTTGAAAACACAATCCCGTTCCGGGATCCCGGAAATTTTTTTTCAAATTTACGGGATTTATAATTACTCCAGTAAACTGCCTGCGGAGCTGAAAAAGGAAGAAATCTGGCTTCTTGGCCGTCCAAAATTCTCAAAATTTTCGCCTGCGGCGCTGAAAAAGGAAGATATTTGGTGATTTGCTCTTCAAAAATTCTCAAAATTTTCGCCTGCGGCGCTAAAAAATGAAAAAAGCTGGCTTCTTAGCCTTCCAAAGAAAAGAAAAATTCGAGAAGTTTTGCCTGTGGTGGATGGATTACGAGTAATAAGAATGGATCTTTGGGATTAACAGAGATATAGAGTGATTGTGAGGTGTACGTTGGTTTGTAAGGTTTAAATCGTCTTAAGTTCAATTCCGGAGGATTAAGAGATATATGATGTTGGGGTATTGGAAAAGGATATCATGAATTTGGGATTAACACCAGATTAAGAGGGATTTGGAGGATAATAGGGGGTATCAGGGATTTATGGATTAAGAGGTATATCGAGGATCTGAGCATTAAGAGTATATTGAGGGATTAAAGGAATAATCCCCATATATCCATTCAAATCCAGTTGAGCCTTAAATCCGCTATATTCGATCTAACCCACCGTTCTTCAAATCACCCTTTACCACTCCAAGTATAGCGATATCACCCTAAATCCACCCATAAGCATTCAAATCCTCTTAATCCCTCTTAATCCACTGATATCCATCTTAATACTCTTATATCTATTCATTCCTTCCTTAATCCATCGAAATCAACCGATATTGACCCAAAATCCGCCAATATTCAACTTATTTTTAATTTAAAATTTTTTTGTGAAAATCCCGGAATCCCGGCGGGATCCCGGGAAATTTGAGAACGGGATTACCGGGATTACGGGATTTACGGATTAATCCCGCGGGATCCCGTCCCGTACAAAATTTTGAAAAAAAATCCCGTTCCGGGATCCCGGGAATGCGATTTTGCCGGACTCTAATAAAAAGATGAGCAATCACCAAACAGATTTAAATATAAAATTTACAAAAAATTATTTTTGGTCACTCCCTTGAAATAAAAAAATAATTTTTCAAATTTTATTGTTTTTTTATTTTCTAAAAATATTTTTGTAACTTTTTTATATTTTAATGATTAAAACAATATTTATTTAACGGGGAATTTTAAGAGGATCATGAAGAAAAAATTATTTTTGACATTATTATTTTTATTTTTCTTTTCAAATTATTTTCTATTATTTATCATCATTGTTATTTATTTCCTTAGTAAGGCTAAAAATAATATCTATAATTTTTATTAAAGTTTAAATAAAGAATATACAAATAAAGGAATTTTTATTGTTATGCAAATGTACAGTTACATTATTAGTTTAAAAATAGTTCAAGTAACTATATACAACTTGGAGTAACTATAAAAAAAGTAGTAACTTTCTGTAAGTTGTATAACTATAAAAATAAATTATAGAAACTTTCCGGAGTTGTATAAATAGAAACTTTCCGTAAGTTGTATAACTATAAAAATAAATCATAGAAACTTTCCGGAAATAAACAAAACTATAAATATATCCTTTCCGGAATATACTATTTTCCGGAAAATTATGCTTATCGTTTAATTGGGTATACATATTTATGTCTTCCGGAATTTACTACCAACTTCCGGAAGTGTTTTTATTTAATTATTCTTTCCGGAATTTACCACTTTCCGGAAAATGATTCAGCTCATTTAACTACCTATATTTATTTTCTTCCGGAAAAATACACTCTCCTTTATCTCTTTTATCTCTCCATCTCTAAATATCTAAATAGATACCTAATTAAATATATTTTTATATTTTTAATATTCTCTTAGTAAGTATTTATTAAATTAAGAAATAAAATAAATATTCATTTTTTATTAAGGGCAAAAGCTTTTCAAAGCGTGCGCCTATTTCCGTTCAAAAAATATTTATTTATTAAATAATGTGATAATCCAAATCTCTTCAAATCCAAATTATTTTCCCCTATTTTCAGAGTTCCTTTTTTCTATTTATTAAAATAAATCCCTTCAAAATATTTTTTCAGAACAAAAAAATTATTTTTTTAAAAACTTTCTCTCTTCTTTTTTATTAAACGGCCTTGTTTTGTGTCTATTAAATTGTTAATCCTTCTCTGAAAAAAAAATTCCCCGTGGCGGACATTTTTGTGATTTTTGTTTCGTTGATTGGCGGTGAGATAGGCTTGCCTTTAGGTCCCTACTTGGTTATATTCCTTTCAAATATCGCTAATCGCCAACTCAAAAAAATTTTTTGAAACGATATGACGCATATTGGTCACAAATGAGTAGAGAATTGGAATAATGATTTAGACGGCGTTTTTATATTTTTTTGGTATATTTTTTTGAATATTTTTTGAATATTTTTTTCTCCATATTGAACAAAAAATTATGTAACAAAAATTAGTCTCATGGAAATTTTTGTGTTTATTTGTTTATTTTACTATGTTTTAGTTATGTAGTATAAAGCTTTTTTGTTTTTTGGTAAATATACATATATACCATATTCCGGAAATATAGAATATTACAATTTTCCGGAACTTGTATATTTATAAGAATGAGTTATTCCAACTTTCCGGAAAATACCTGAACTCTAACCTTTTTTTTAATGAACAAGTTGGAGTTTTCGTCAATTTTATATATGTACATATTTTTCCGGAAATTAAACTTTTCTTATTGAAAAAGTTGGATTTTCCGGAAAGTTTATATGTATAACAATTATATATATACCAGGGGTGTGCCAGTTTTGCGTTTCGCGTTTCGCCTTTTGCGGATTTTCGCGTTTTTTGGACTTTCGCGTTTCGCGTGTCGCTTTTTTAAATTTACTTTCGCGTTTCGCGTTTCACTTTTTAAATTTAATTTCGCGTTTCGCTTTTTAAAATCCGTTTCGGCACACCCCTGATATATACTTTTCCGAATAGTTTTCAATAATAACAGTTTTTATAGCATCTTTCCGGAAACTTTTCCGGATAATCTTTAATAAATTTAGTATTTAAATTATTTAATGTTCTTTCAATTATATTTTTGTTCGCCTCTCAATTTCTGCATTTAAATTAATTCAAGCTGCTAGTATATGGCATTAAGTACCTTCCAAATAATTGTAGCTCAATTAGTTTCACACCAAATTAATTTTAATTTTTTCTTCAAATTTATTTTGTTAATAATTTGTATTAATTTTAATGAGGCTAATAATCAAGTAATTTTTTAATTAAAAAATTAAAAAATAAATTTTAAAGTTTTTCGACAAATCCATCCCAGATGCAGAAACACTCCTCACACAAGCAGACTTTCATAGAGTCACACAAAGACAGAAAAGACAACAACCTACTGAAACAAATCCAAATAATATAAACGACTCTGCCATGTATAATAAAGAAAGATTTGAAGGGGATATTTGTAAAAATTTTTGGAAATTCCTTTTAATTTTAAAAATATTTTGCAGTGACTGCGGTAAACCCTGCAGCTTCCCTCCCTTTGAAAAACACGGTAAATGAGGATTCTGCATTTAAATCGCAAGATGGACTACAAAGGAATGCTGTAAAATATTTTTTCTAAATTTAAAAAAATTTTAACAATAGGTAAGACAGTCTTATTTGAAATGGCCACGTGCTCGGATACCTTATACAGTCAGTAGTCAATATACAAGTTATGGGTAAGTTTAGAATGTTATTCGTTATTCGATTGAATTAATAAACTGAAATTTGTTATATTCCGGATAAACTTTCCGGAAAATATTTTATAATTAAATAAAGTTTTCCGGAAATTAATTATTTATAATCATTTATAAACCTTTCCGGAAAATAATTTTCAGGTAGTAAATAAAATATTCCGGAAAAGGCATAATACTGTCCTATAATGCTTTCCGGAATATTTATATAAATAATTAATATTTTCCGGAAAACTTTATTGTTAATTGTAATCAGTAATTCCGGAAAATAATTCCGGAAAAAATAATAATTTTATCTATAATGTTCCGGAGAATACAATTAATTAACGTTTTCCGGAATATTTAGGTGAAAAATTATGTTTTTCCGGAAAATAAGAATTAAAAAATATTGTCTTATAAACACAAATTTTCTTAAAATTCGAAGTCGTGAACGTATTGCTGAAGCAATTGACGAATATCACAAGAAAACTTGTGTTGAATGGACACCTAAGGCGGCGAATGATATAGACTATGTTAAATAATATTTAAAATATTTAAAAAAAATATTTTTCAATATTTTTTAAAGGTACACATTTTACCTGATGATGGTTGCTATTCTTTGGTGGGGAAAGTTGGTATGATTTTTAATAAAATTATTTAATTTTTAAATTTAAATAAAATGATTTTTAGGTGGAAAACAGCCTGTATGTTTTTAATTTTGAAATTTTATTTTTTATTTTAAATAAAAATAATTTTTAGGTCAGTCTAGGTGAAGGTTGCATGACTATAGGAATTGTGTAATATTTTTAAAAATATTTTTAATTTTAAATTAATTTTTTTATTTTATAGTATCCACGAGTTAATGTACGTTATAAATTAATTTTTTAAATAAATATTAAAATTTTTTTAATAATTAAAAAAATTAATTTTTAACAGGCATTCTGTTGGGTTTTTCCATGAACAAAGTAAAATTTTAAAAAATTTCTTAATTTAAAAAATTTTTTTAATAATCTCAAGGTAGGACAGATCGTGATGATTATGTTAATATACTTTGGGACAATATTGACCCAACCTTAAGAGGTAAAAAATTAACTGATTAATTAAAAATATATGTAGTATTTATAATTTTATTTAAAAAGAAAATTATTTTTCCGGAAGTGTATTAATTTAGTTGAATATAAACTTTCCGGAAATAATTTATAAAATAAAATATATTATGTCCGGAAAAAAATAACAAAGAAATAATACGGAAATAGTAGAACTTTCCGGAAAACGTTTAAAAAATTATGGGAACTTTCCGGAAAGGAAAATTTTATAAATTGTTTCCGGATTGGAATAACTATGAAATTATAAACTTTCCGGAAAATAATTGAAAAATTAATATATCCGGTAAAACAATATAAAGAAATATTCCGGAAATAGTATAACTTTCCGGAAAATGATTAATAATCATTATAACTTTTTCGGAAAGGTAGGAATAAATATGAAATAAACTTTCCGGAAAAAGTTTAATAATTATTATGTATAACTTTTCCGGGAGGGTGGGAATAAATAGAAGATTAAAAACTTTCCGGAAAAATAATTAACAAAATTAATATGTATATCCGGTAAAACAATACATTATAAAGAAATATTCCGGAAATAGTAGAACTTTCCGGAAAATGTTTAAAATTATTATAACTTTTCCGGAAAGGTAGGAATAGATAGAAAATTAAACTTTCCGGAAAATAATTAAATTAAATTATAGATCAATTCGACAAATACTCTCAAAATATGATTGACTATTTGGGGACTAGATGTTAGTAAATAAAAATTAAATTTTTGAAAAAATATTTTTAAAATTTAAAGATGATTATTCTTCTGTAATGCATTATGGACCCTTAGTAAAGAAAAAATAAATTTTAAAAATTAAAAATTATTTTTATTTAAAGGCATTCAGTAAAAATGGGAAGCCAACAATCGAACCTAAAGAGAAAAGTGTAACTATTGGTCAACGTTTAGGATTTAGTCCGACAGATTTATACAAAGTGAATAAGCTCTATAATTGTCCAAATTGTATGAAAATTAATTTAAATTAACAAAAAAATTTTTTTAAAGCAAACACTAATCCACAACAACCACAGACATCTCAACAACAAAAGCAGCAACAACTACCTGTTCCTATTTCGGTTGTTTCTACTTCTGGAAGCATTGCTTCAAGTAATAGTAAATGTATAGATTTGTTGAATGAATGTCCATATATAGCTAATAAAGGTGGATATTGAAGTTTTTAATATTTTGAAATAGATTGGAAAAAATTCTCTCGATATCCGTGTTGAGACAGAGGAGGATTTGGAGAGTAAGTTGGAGGGGTGAGGGGGCTGATATTGAGTGATTAATAATTTAGCCGAAATATTGATGAATTCCTACGATATTCCTCCAAATCCTTAATGACCCGGTACCACCTCAAATTCTCCTTAGACCCTCGATATGCCTTAAGATCCTCCTCAATCACCTCGTATCACTTTAAATCCTCCTATATTCCTCTTAATCTCCCCCTTTCAAATATCACTCGATCTCTTTTCTAATTCCCTTGCTCACTTCAAATCCTCTGATATGTATCCCCGATATATATTACGCAAAAATTTTTTATGGGAAAAATCCTGGAATCTCGCTGGATCCCGGTAAATTTGAAAATGGGAGAAACGGAATTCCCTTCTCGTTCAAAACTTTGAAAAAGATTTTAGCGCCTCTAATTTAACTTTATCTTTTAAACAGATACATGTAATTCAATGTTCAGTTCTTCATTTTTGCAAGCTAATTGTCCTAAAAGCTGCAATAGTTGTCCTTCCAATAACAATACAGATTGTAATGTATAAATAAATTTTGTGGGAATTTAAAAAATATTTTGAAAATTTTGAAGGACAGTAAAGATTGGTGTTCTCGGTGGGCAAGTAGCGGAATGTGTGATCTCTACATTTTTCAAGTAAGCTTTTATTTTGATTAGACCCTCTCTAATTAAAGACCCTTCCCTCTCTCTAATAGTAAGCCTCTTTTAATGACACCTCTTTATTAGAATACCCCCTCTCTAATAGTAAGCCTCGGTTATGAACCTCTCTCTATTAGAAAACCCTCTCTAATAATAAGCCTTTATTGAAGATTCTCTCCTTACTAAATAGGATACTGTAATATTTAATAATTTGGATATAGTTTAGTATACCAAGTTCTAGTTCCGACACAAAACCAATACCATTCGATTTGTCTCGACGAGATTAGTCGAACGTTACAAGTCTTTTTTTTCGGAGATGCCTGTGGACCTACGGTTTTTCGATTTTCGGGGACCTATATCTCGGTCCAAAGGCATCTCCAGAAAAAAAGAGTGGTACCGTTCGACTCGGCTCGTCGAGACGAAACGAATGTTATCGGACTTGTATCGGAACTAAAACTCCGGTATACTAAACTACAGCCAATAATTTTTAGTCATATATGCTCTCAAATTGTCAAATGTCCTGCGGCGTTTGTTAAATTTTCAATTTTCCACTGATACCGGTGGGACAAAATACCTATGAATATGTTTATTTACCTATTAATTATTGTAACAGAAAAGTGCTTTATTTTTATATACTCATTTTTGTTGTATAAATATTATTTATAAAATAGCAAAATTAATTTTAAAAACCAAGAGACCGAAAAGGAAAAACCAAGAGGTTACCGTTGAACCTCGGTATTTGCTTAAACATTAAAAAATTCAGAAGAATATTTAAATTTAATTTTTAATAAATTCAAATTAATTTTCAATTTTTAAAATCGACTTGAAAAATCGTTATAAATTATAATAGACAAATATAATTACATGTGAGACGTTAAATTATAGGAAGTAAAATTTTAAATAGACAAAGAACGGGATTGCCTATTGCCTTCGATGGTAAAAAAATTTAATTTAGAGGCCCTACCCTCTAATAAAAAAATCCTCTATTAAAAATTTAAACAATGAAAGGGATAGACATTCAGAGGGCTAAGGAAAAATTTAAAAGAGACAACAATGGAAAAATTTAAAGACAAAGGATGCCCTTTCTAATTAATTCAAAAATTAATGACGAACGAGGCGGGCATAAATCGACAGGCATGTATTCCCGTTGAATTTAATTTATATAAAAGCCAATAGAAAATAAGGGGAAATCATTCAAAAGTTTTTTCCTTCAATTAAAATTTTCAAAAAAATTCTCTAACCTTCTAAACAACCAAAAAATGGCAAAATTCATTTTTGTTTTTATTTTATTAATTTTTATTTTCATTAATTCATCTTATGCTCCCGAACCTTCCTACATAGGCAATTGGAAAAATCATTCACCGCAAGAAATAGCAGAAAATAAAGCTAAGAAAGAAGCTGAGAAAAAAAAAGCGCATTATGGTTAGTGAGTCCTGGTTTATATTCTTCAATAGGTCACTTTGAGTGGGCTTATATTATTTTAAGCTTATATTAGAGACCGGGCTTAACGTATTTACTCTAGTAATCCCCCAGCCTTTATTAATTCCCAGTCTCTATTAATTCCCCACCCTAGAGATGGGTTGAAACAATAATCCCCCTGTGGAATTACCAGAGAAATACGGTATATTTTTTAATTTTTTCCATCACGGATCTCAATAAATTTTCAACCGATATACAAATTAAGAATCCTCCTTTACATGGATTCATGGTATTTTCCCCTGATATTCGAACCCGGTATCCAAACAAGAACATTCAAATCCGGTATCTGTTAACCCTATTTAATGACTAATATACGTAATTTATACATAAGAAACCCTTTTTCCGACTAGGGAAGGCTACGGACGTAATTTCTAAATTTTAAAAGTTCAATTTAAAAATGAACAAAAAAATCTTTTAAATTATTTAAATTAAGATATGATAAAACAAGTTGGAGAAAGTGAAAAAAAGAGACGGGCTAAAAATCCGTATACTAATTTTACATTTTCACCACCTTCAAAAAAGTAATCAAAATTCAAGATTGAATTTTGGAAAAAAGAAGAAGTGATGTAAAAAGAAGGGGATGTTTATAAGAAAAAACAAACAGATATTCTGTTGCTCTTTTAAATTGTACAAACAAACATTTTTAAAACTTTCATGTAAATACTTGCGATTATTTTGATTAAATTTGGGAAAAAAATTTTTTTATTTAAATTATTTTTGTAAATGATGTTTTAATTAGAGATCGACAAGATCGTCTTCTATGGGATCCCACAAAAGTTAGTAACAAGGGTTGTTCTCGACCGGTTTTAAAACCGAAATTGTTGAGATTTTTTGCCAAAAATTAGCCTTTTTTACAAAATTTATAAAACCAAAAATTTGCGAAAATGAGTGGTTTTATTAGAAATTCCCCAAAATAAAACCGATTATTTGTCTAAACCTCAAAAACGAAAACATATATTAGAAAAAGGTCAACTTTATATTTACAAGTGAATATGCAAATTGTTTATTTGATTAAGCGAATGCAGCTGATTAACATAAAACCGGGGGTACCGGTTAATAACCGGTAGTGAACAACCTTAGTGGTAACTTTTACAAAGATTTGCGGGAGTCTCTAAGATGTATCTTTAATCCTTTCTTTAAAGTTTTAATAACATTAGAAATTTGGCATTCTTCTTGAAAAGTCATTTATTCGCATTAAATAGAGTTAGGCCTAACACTTATATTATTTCATCATTAATGTAATATTATATTTCCTGTGAAAACATAGCGGTAACATCATGCTTCGGCAAGCCTGAGGACCTGATCTACCTCATAGCTTGTTTATTTAAGGAGAAAGGTCTCTCCGGATTTTTCAGTTCCGGAAAAAATCCGGTCACACGGATTTGGGACCCGGACAATAAAAAATTTTTTATCCTTTTATCATTTAAAAATTAAATAAATAGTTCATTTGCCTAAGGTTAATGGATATATTTAAACTTTTAATACATTAATCATATTAACACACCTATCTGTCAATTAATTTTTCTCAAGGATTAATTAAATTTAAAATAATATTTATATTTATTTTATTTAATTCCAAGTTTTTATTTACTTTTGATTTGCCGAAAATTTTTTACATCAAGAAATATGTGCTAAGTGAGATAATAATCTTTTAGCAAACAAATTTTAAACAAATTCTTGTCAATCATTCTATTTTTGATCAAATATTCTATTTTTTTATCATATTTTCGAAACAAAATTTTTATTAAAAATAATATCATATTTAAAAATAATATTACTAATTTATAAATTTTTCCTGGATTGTAGCTGAAAACTGCTCCTGTCCTGTAGCAGAAAATATTTTCTATAGGCCACAGTTGTATAGTAGGCCATTAATATGCGCACACAACTAAATTTCAGTTTCCTAAATGGTTGAATTCAAATGGCCAACATTTATTTTGTTTGGATTTATGTGCTTTTAATTGTTATTTTACCGCTGCATGTAAAGTTCAAACTAGTGTTCGGCAAGTTCAAACTAGTGTTCGGCACTACCGAAAGTACCGAATCGGTACTTTTCGGTACTACCGGTACCGGTACGGTACGGCTAAGATTTTGGAATTTTCGGTACTTTTCGGTTTCGGTACTTTTCGGTACTACCGGTACCGGTACGGTACCGATAAGATTTTGGAATTTTCGGTACTAATTCGGTTTCGGTACTATTCGGTACTACCGGTACCGGTACCGAAAAAACCTATTTGCCGAACACTAGTTCAAACATGATGTTATAAAATTAAAATAAGTATTTAAAATAATTAAATGAATGATTTAAATTTATTTAAAAATATTTAATATAACTATTTTAAAAATTATAATCGTGTTCATGTATAATTTATGATTTGGTTGCTTCTTCTTTGCTCTAAGAGGAAAAAAACTAAAATAGCAAAGAGATAAAAATGTTTTTGCTCCAGTCGCCATGCTTACTATCGAAAAACTAGATTCAAAAATTTTCTATTTAAAATTAGGCATACTTTTGTAGTGTCAAAGAGAAATATTTAAATTTAATTTTTAATAAATTCGAATTAATTTTTAAAATTGAGTTGAAAAATTCATAGCAAAAATTAAATTACATTAGAAAAATTTTTAAACATGTGAGACGTAAAATTATAAGAAAAAATTTTTTAAATAAACAAAGAAAGGATTTGTCTATTGCCTTCGATGGTAAAAAATTTATTAAGAGGCCCTATACTCGCGAAAAAATTCTCTAATAAAAATTCAAACAAAGGAATGGAGATGGAATGGATCTTTAGATGGAATGGATCTTTTAGAATAAAGGTAAGAAAAAAATTTAAAAGAGACAACAATAGAAAGATTTATAGACAAAGGATGCCCTTTAAAATTAAAGTAAGAATTAATTTATATAAAAGTCGATAGAGAATAAGGGGAAATCATTCAAAAAGTTTTTACCCTTCAATTAAAATTTTCAAAAAAAATTTTTCTTACTTTATAAACACCCAAAAATGTCAAAATTTATTTTTATTTTTATATTATTAATTTTTATTTTTATTAATTCATCCTATTCATCAAAAGCAAACGGATTTACTAAGGAAGAACGTGAAAAACTGAACGCTGATAAAACTGCCTATTTTGGTAGTATTTACATAAAATATTTAATTTCAAACAGACACTTAAAAAAATAATCAAAATAAAGTATAAAATTTAATAAAAAATAAAGTTAAAAAGCTTAAATTAAAAAAATATTGCCATATACAGGCAATACTCCATGAGAATATGTACCTTGAAATTTTCCAAAAAATTAATTTCTAAAATTAAAAAATTTTTTTAATAAATTAAGTAATAAAAATTATTTTAAAAAAATTAATAATTTTTTTTATTTAAATTAAGATGATGCAAAAAAGAAGGCAGAAGCTGTCCGTAAAAGTGGGACGGTATATTTAGATACAGTACAACATCCAAAAAAGAAGAAAAATTAACCATTGAATTTTGATAAAGAAAGAGATGAGCAAAAGGAGTGTAAATATTTTATTTTAAAATTCAAAAAAAACAAACAGATATTCTGTTGCCCTTTTTTATACTATTTATTATACAAAACAAACATTTCTGAAATTTTCATGTAAAAACTTTATTGTCGTTTTGATAAAAATTGTAAAAAAAAATTTTTTTAATTATTTTTGTAAGATAATGTTTATGTTTATCTCTAGTCTTTATAGCTTAAAAATTTTAGAACTTTAAAAAATTTTCAGTTATTAAAGTCTAATTTTCAAGTTTATTTTAAGGTTTCATGTTTATTTTTTCTGAAGCAAGTTTATTTTTTAACAAACATTTTCATTCTACTTAAACTTTATTTCACAAAAAAGCTTTTATTTAATATATCCAGGTTACGGTTGTCCAAATACTCGGTTCATTTGCTATAAAATACCTTCATTTCATTAAAATCCACCATCATTATCATAATTAAAACCGGGACTAAATCTCTCAACCCCTTTTTTCAACGCGTCATATGTTTATGGATAAATTTTTTCCGTCTAAAACTTTTTAGATTAAAATACTCGAATCCTCGAAGACCCTAAAATTAATAATATGGTAGGTTTACAAAAATAGAACCAGACAGGATTCGATTTAAATATTTGATTTTAAAATTTAAAAGAAACGACAAAGATATTCTGTTACAAGAAATTTTATATAAAAGATAAAATTCGAAATATTTAGTATCATTTGATATCCTTTATATCCCCTGATTTCCGCCGATAGATGCCCATAGCGTTAGATAGAAGATAATATAATTCAACTCTTTTTTATGACTTATGCAACAAAAGAAGTTACAGAGATCTTTTTTAGTTACAGAGACTTTTACTATTGTTTTGTTTAAAGGGTAAGATGTGTTCATATTTTTAGCGGAGTATACAAATTCTGGTCAATAATTCTATTTTTTATCATCCCGCAAAAAATTTTTATTAAAAATGCAAAATATTCCTTTAGATTTTTTCTGGATTGTAGCTGAAAACTGTGTTCCTGTCCTGTAGTAGCGAATATTTGCTATAGGCCCGAGTTGTATAGCAAGCCATTAATATGCGCATACAACTCAATTACAGATTCTCCTAAAATCTTTTGTTTGGACTTATGTGCTTTTAAATGTTATTTTAGCGCTGCATGTAGAGTTAAAACATGAAAATTAAAATTAGCATTTAAAATAATTAAATAAATGGTTTAAAATTTTGTTAAAAATAGGTAATATGTATGTATAACTAATTTAAAAATTATAATCGTGTTCATTTCTAATTTATAGTTTGAAGCGCTTCTCTGCTTTATGAGGAAAAAAATAAAACAGTAAAGAAAAAAATGTTTTTGCTCCAGATCAGATCATTATTACTACTAGGGTTGCCGTTTTCGGTTCGAGCCGACGTTCGGTGCATTTTTCGAGCTGCGTTTTTTTCGATTCGGTTAGTTTTCGAGTTTTAGATTATATTAGAAAAATTTTTAAACATGTGAGACGTTAAATTAAAAAAAAATTTTTAAATAAACAAAGAAAGGTTTTTTCTATTGCCTTCGATGGTAAAAAAATTTATTAAGAGGCCCTATCCTCGCGAAAAAATTCTCTAATAAAAATTTAAACAAAGGAAAAGATAAATGGAATGGATCTTTAGATGGAATGGATCTTTTAGAATAGAGGTAAGCAAAAAATTAAAGACAAAGGATGCCCTTTAAAATTAATTTAAAAATTAAAGACGCACGCTTTTCGACTGGGCATATGCCTATATGCGTGCCTGTAATATAAAAGTTGATAGAAAATAGGGAAATCATTCAAAAAAAATTTTTCCTTCAATTAAATATTCAAAAAAAATTTTCTTACCTTCTAAACAACCAAAATAATGTCAAAATTTATTTTTGTTTTTATATTATTAATTTTTATTTTTATTAATTTATCTTCTTGTTCTCCACCAGGACAAGACAATATTACGGAAGAAGAAGCAAAACGAAAAATGAAAGAACGTAAGGAGGAAGAACTTAAAAAACTGAGAACTAATAGA